CTGATGAATTTAGAACAATTGTGAAACTATTGACTATGTACCAAAGCAAACGAAGTATGACCTACAGAACCAAATGTATCCTATTTGAGAATGATATGATGGAACCTTTGTTTGGTTTAACCTGATGGAACCTTCATCTGATATAATTTGATGGGATCTTTGTTCGATTTAATTTGACAAGACCTTTGCTTGATTTGAGAACCGTTGTCTGACATGGTATCGTTCATGGAGATTATAAATTGTTCATGAACGAATGACCGGATTATTCCTGACGACAAAATTAATAGACCCAAAACTTGAATCCGTTTTGAATACTTGATTTATTTAGAAGACTTTATGTGGGCTGTCAACAGACCGATCTAATCATGAACACTATTAAGAATCAAATTTTCAACTATTGGGAACATATGTGTTATAAATGAACTGAGTTGTGCAAATTCAGTGATTGGGTGTTTTAGGGAATGGCCACTTCTATGTTATTGTATTTTTGACCCGATGCTATGAGAATTAATGGACCCAAGAATTGTGTTTGATTTGAATACTTACCACCTTGAAGACCTTAAACGAATTATCAATAACCGACTATGTGATTATGAATGGTATTTGAATATGTACCTTCTATTTATTGGGAACACACATATCATGTTAAAGATTGACTGCTTCTGTATTATCGTATTCTTATTAATTTGACGCTATGGGAACCATTAACAGCAGACCAATTTGATTATAAACAGTACTAAATATTTACCTTTGACTGATCAGAATATGTTTTGTATGGGAGAATAGTTGCTTCAGTATTATCGGATTTTGGGAATTCATGTTACGGTAATTGTTAACTGTGAAATATTTTGATTGTGAACACTATTGGGATTAAAAACCTTGACTACCTAGAAGTATATGAATTTAGTACGTCTTGTGATTGATTGTTTTATTACATTTGCTATTATGGGATTAATATATGAATTGCTTTATGCTCTCGACGACTATCGGATAATGTTGATGGAACATGAAATCGAATATTGAATTGACTTGTAACTGGTGGAACACACGTATTATGTTAAAAATTGAATGCTTCAGTATTTTTGTACTTTACAATCGATGCTACGGGAATATTTAAATTATGTACACGGTGTGGTTGATTGTTTTGTTGTTACCTTTGTTACCGAGGCCGTTCGATATATTTGATAAGGACACAGAATGGGCCTAAGGCCGTTTAGCATATTGGACAAAATAGACCTACCTAAGGTCATCTCATATATGAATTGGACCGAAGGTCGTTTTGTATGTTTGTTAAATGGTCCAAAGGTCATTTTAAATAAGAAGTTGAATGGATCAAAGGTCATTGTGAATATGAATAAGAATGTGAACATGACCATGACTATCAAAATGACCACAAAATTGATCGGACCAAAGGTCGTTTGCCTATGAATACGAATGTAAACATGATCATGACTATAAAGGTGTGCACGAATATGAATTTGGAAATGATGGACCTGAGATCGTTTAGTACATGTGTTGTGAAGGACCGAATGGTCATTTGTGTATGGATCCATTAGACCTAAGGTCAGATTATGAATGAATATTTTGGACCCAAGGTCATTTTGATTATGAATGGATTGGACCGAAGGTCATTGTGAATATGAATGTATTGGACCAAAGGTTAATGTGAATATTAATGCATTGGACTGAAGGTCATTTTGAATATGAATGTATTGGACCGAAGGTCATTTTGTATATGAATATGTTGGACTCAAGGTTGTTTCGTCCCTTCGATATATTCTGAGTATAATGAATTGGACCTTAGGTCATTCCGTTATGATTTGCTTAAGTTTGTTATGAATGAAAATTGTGTTTCATATGTATTAAATATAAGTATGATTTATTTAATTAACGAATCTCATTCATTAACCTTTCTATTTTTGGTATTATTCATTGGGCGATAGCTCACTCTATATATATGTATATATGTATGTATGTAGGTGAGCAACATGATGTCCATCCCCAACCTTAGTGAAATTGTGAAAGAGTATAGAGAATTTGGAGTTAGCTAAGGTAGCCTCACGCAAGAGGCTTTGTTTTTAATCTTTTGTTTTGTCCTTGGTTACTTTTCTTGGTCACGTACGACTACTTTTGTATATAAATCTTTGGCTTGGAAAATTATGTTATGAATGATCCTGGAGATGTATAACTTGATTATGTATATGATATGTGAGTTATTATATATATATGAAAGGTTTTTATTTTTCTATGTATACACAACTCATTGTACAAAATTTATTATTCTGCTTCCGCATCTAGCCCCCTATTATTAAATATGATTTAATTTTAGTTTGTGGGCGTAGGTAATTTCATGATTATAGGCCGATTATGATCCTAACATATAGAGGCAGGTTTGGATCATGACAGTTAGTCAAATTACCAAAAAGTATTTTTTAATCCCATGAGACTCCATGTATATTTTTATAAACAAACATCAATTTTGTGGAACTTATGGAATTATTAATTAAAGGACAAACTTCATTTTACCTTTCTGTGGTCATAACATTCAGAAATGATTACATAACTCATTTGTGGTTTATGGATTGAAGTGTACCGTTAAACATTTCGTCTAACTTTATAGCAAGTGTGAAACACATAGCAGGTTAAGGGAGTTATATACTTATCTTCAAATTTCAAAGAGGCAAATCACACATGAAATAAAATATAGGTATTAAAGTACACTTCACCTTTCAAACAAATGACTAAAATATATAGATATTTTAATTTTTTTTTCATTAAATCATTAATGGACCTAATGGTATATTACATTCTACAAACTATAAGGCCCTGTTTGTTTAGAGAGTTAGAGGGGGGATTGAGATTGGTAGTGAGGTGGAACCCACTAATATTGTGTTTGTTTTGAGAGATGGGGAGGGGATTGATAGTGAGCTCCGGATTATGATAGGCTTCTCCAAGGGGATTCAGATGAGCATCCAAGACTTGGTATTAGAAAAATTGTCTGGTGGACTAGAAATTTTTTATTTTTATTTATTTTTTATTTTATTTTTTACATGTCAGACATTTTTTTTAAACATTAATGTTTAATTTTTTGTATTTATTGTTAAGTAAAAATTATTATTTTAATTATTTTATTTTTTTCTAGAAATTTTTATTTTATTTTTATTTTTTTAAATTTTTTTACATATTGGGTATTTTTTTTAAAACATTAATTTTTAATTTTTTTATACTTTTTTTATTATTTATATTTATTTTATATAAAAATAATTTGACAATCGCTACACTAACAACTATTATCAAAACACAAAATTTTACTTAATCTCTTCACTATCAATCCTCTCACTAATAATTCCCTTATTGTCAATCCCTTCTATTCTATCTCTGAAAACAAACTAGAGATAAAAAATTATATGATTATTTCTAAATATTAAAAAAATAGAGTGCATGTCACTCAAAACCCAAGCGAATTGAAGTTTATGGACTATAGAGGAAAACAAACAGCCATCTGGCATGCGATCTCAGCTTAGCTGTTCACTGCAAGCAGAAATAGCATCCTACAGAAGTTATTGATTGATTTTAGACTACTATTTCACACCATTCATTAAAGATAAGTGTCTCATTATCTTTTAAAAAGAGATATAAAGGTCATGAGATTTCGTTTGGAATCTGTGCTAATTTTTTTTTTTGACTATTTTAATTTAGTGTTAAAAAATCTTGTTTATAATAGGATTTTTTAATTTTTTGAAAAATAAAATGATTATTTTAGATATAATATTTTATTTTATTTGACTAAAAAAAGTTGATTTTATCTTTTTATGACCATTTTAATAAAAATCTCAAAAATTTCATATGCCAAACAAAGACTGGGATATCATTTGTCAACTATATATTTTAACTAAAAAGTTAAAAAATTATTATAAATTGTTATATTATCCTATTTATTTTTATAAAAAATTAAAAAATTATTAAAATAATATTTTGCCAACGAGACGTGAGTGTCATTGATTCAACAATAAAAACCAAGGTGGACCACTATCAACTTGCTCCAGGCACAAACAATAATTTTGTCAAAAATGATTGAAACTCTAATAAATGAACTTTAATAAGACTGAGTACTATTATAATGCAATATTTTAATTTTAACTTTTTATTTTTTTATTTTAAAATGATTGAAACTCTAATAAATGAACTTTAATAAGACTGAATAATATTATAATGCAATATTTTAATTTTAACTTTTTATTTTTTTATTTTTTATTTACTGCAACATCATTAGAACTCTGTAATTGTTAGCGTTCCAAAATTAAAGAGATACAGACATACCTAGACAGAGACGACTCTCATGGCCGTTAACTTCATGCTCCATTATCTGAACCAGGAATTTTAGGTATTATGAAATTTTTTTTATAAAAATAATTATAAAAACTTTGTCACTCTTGAATTACACTTAGAATAAAATACCATACACTAATCAAAATAATCCAAAAATTATAAATTTTTCATGATTATTTTCATAAATTTTTTTTCCTCATTCTTAACTTTTCCCTATATATATATATATATATTTCTTTTAAGTGGGGTGAAATGAGTGAAACTGCAAACGGTCTGAGAGAGAGAGAGAGAGAGAGGCAAGTGGCTAGTCACTTATCTTATGGGTACTTGGTTACTTTCATATCTATCTTTTTGATCAATATCTTTCTCAGATTCTAATCCTACAAATTTGAAATCATTTTTCATCTGAATACACAACAGACGAAAATAATCTATACTATTATAAAGTGAACGCCTTTTATGGTGTCCTGAAACTTTACTCTCCTAATGTCATGTGGCAGTATTTTTTAAAAAAAAGTTAAACAAAGAGATGTGCAAGGCTTGAACCCATGACCATGAATTTAAATACGAGAACTCATACCACTTAAATTAAATACACATTGTAATACTAATTTTATTATTATTATTTTTTATTCCTACTTATTTAAATTGGACGCGCATTTGTGTGTTCCACCTAGTAATAATAAAAAAGAAGAAGATAATCTTCATCCCAACGAACAGTCCTAACACTCATCTCCCTCTCTCTCATCTATGAAAACCCTTTCGTCTCCATTCTCCATTACCAAGTCGATGACAAACCTCAATCTTTTCGATTTTCCGTTCAAACCCAAACTTCCCAGCCTTCTCCTGACGAACAGACCCTTCAATCCCTCTAGGGTTTCAATCAACCCTCCACCACCAGATTTCAATTACAGATCCACCATTTTAGCCGACTCTCGAGCCTCAATTGTTCAAACCCATCCCGAATTGCTCGATTTGGCGGACGACAATGGAAGCTTGGTTCTTGTCAAAAAGAGTCAATTCGGACCCGTGCCGGAGTGGAGGGCCGAGTTCGTGGAGCCGGAGGAGATTTGGTTGATCGGGACCACTCATATCTCTCTCGAATCAGCGCTGGATGTTGAGCGCGTGGTGCGTGCTGTGAAGCCAGACAATGTTGTTGTGGAACTTTGCAGAAGCAGGCAAGTCTTTGTCAAATTTAATCAATTGATGTAGTTTTTAGAGCTATATTGCTTTTTGATATCTTCGTTTTTAACTGAGGTTTGTTGGTTATCATCCATGGGTTTTTTTATATTGAAATGAAGTATTGTTTCTCTGCAGCTCTGTAAGAGTGTAGCATATTGCATTTATTAAAAATTTATTTTATTGAGAAAGCACAACAAAAAGAGTGTATGAGCTGTTGTTTTAAGATTCGAAAGTTCTTGGTGTTCATTTTTGTTTTTTTGTGGAAAAATGAGGGGATAAAAAGCAAGGGGAAAGCAAATTGAATAACCCTTTGTGCCCACATAATAACAGAATAGGAAAGCACCAATGAAACTTCTCGTTAATTGGGATTCATTAATCATTGTTTTTGTTTTTAAATTTGGGATATTGCATGTCATACAAAATGCACAAATTTAAGCCTTTTTCTTGTTGTCTTTGTAATTATTGACTGTCATCATGCTTATGTTTTTTTGTTTTGTTATTGTTTTTTTAACAACCTTTATAGATTTTGTTTAAGAATTGAAAGATAGATGGTGGTGGATTGCATTAAAGTATATGTGCAATCTTCATAGGATGACAAATATTTGTTTCATTGATATATTGGTGTGCTTTCTCTTATACTTTTCTTCTCTACTAATTTGTTGTATTATTATTTGTTCTAATGTCCCCAATTGAGCTGAGTTATTCTCTCAACTTTCATGCTCTGAGTTTATGTCCCTTTTTGTCTTTATGATTAGCTGATTGTGGTGTGGAGGTGCCTATGTCAACCAGAAGTAAGCACTAATCAGGGGAAAAAAAAACGAGTGAAAGAAATATCAACTTAAAAGAAGCAACATAGAACACAAGAATTTTTTAAGTAATGACGATGACAAATAATTAGCTATATATATTTCTGAAAAAAAAATAAAATAAAAAAAATACACCTAGCAAACTGTCAAACTGATATAGAAACAGCGCTTGAGGGTATGTGTAAGTATAATTGGTATTGGAGGGATACATTCATTGACACCAAACAACAAAGCCGGCATGGTACTTTTGTAATTGGACTTTCAGAGTTTGCATATGCAATCAGCTTTTAAAAGGTTAAAAACAATAGACTTGCCAACACGGCATTGCTATTTGTCTGTATTGTTGTTGAATATATGTTTACTGATATAGAAACAGCGCTTGAGGGTATGTGTAAGTATAATTGGTATTGGAGGGATACATTCATTGACACCAAACAACAAAGCCGGCATGGTACTTTTGTAATTGGACTTTCAGAGTTTGCATATGCAATCAGCTTTTAAAAGGTTAAAAACAATAGACTTGCCAACACGGCATTGCTATTTGTCTGTATTGTTGTTGAATATATGTTTACTGATATAGAAACAGCGCTTGAGGGTATGTGTAAGTATAATTGGTATTGGAGGGATACATTCATTGACACCAAACAACAAAGCCGGCATGGTACTTTTGTAATTGGACTTTCAGAGTTTGTATATGCTATCAGCTTTTAAAAGGTTAAACACAATAGACCTGCCAACCGGCATTGCTATTTGTCTGTGTTGTTGTTGAATATATGTTTACTGCTAAAGACATGTTCGCTACTTCTCACAACATGCTAAGAACTCTAGAATCGTTCACCACATTTATTTACTCTTTATTTGACAAATGGGAATAGTCGAGGCATGGAAGATGCTTTGATTTATCACATGAGCAACATAGTAGGGTTTAGTTATATAAGAATTAATTTGTTTATATAAAAAACATATATATAAGAGTTAATTTGTGCAGTATGGTGTTTGGCTTAGATTTAGCAGACTATTAGATTTGATTTGATAGGATTGACCAAACTCTTGTAAAAGTACTAATTTGTGGCGAAGGTGGTTGAATTTTGGTTTGATACAACTTTGAGATTTTTTCTCTTTTTCTCCTTGTGGATTGAAAGGTACACCGTTGTGAATTCTAGGGCAGATCAGGGGGAAGACTTCAGTTTCATCATAAACAAAAATGCTAAAGTAGAATAAATTATTCAACTGCACAAGTTCTGTCATTTGATAAAATTTCTGATAGGCAATCAATTTCTATACGCAGTCAGATATGCTTGCTCATTTCTCTCATGCCTCTCTCTGTTCATGTTTCAATATTCTGGTGTCCTAGGTGTGGAGGAACCACACCAATCCATCCCAAACCTAGAACTTGTGGGAATTGTTGTGAAAAAACTATCAAACAGATAGATAAAAAATGCTCTCTTGAAGAATTTTTTTACTAGTAATGATGCTAGATTATTGGATTGGTTCTGTTGAGTACAAATCCTCGGAAAATTTCAGTAAGAGTCCTCATATCTGTTGAACTATTAATTATTTTTGAAGTATACAATCCATGGCTTAACTTCAATTGTTGCAGATTTCATCTTCAGAGCTGGGATTATGTACATGTCCAATGATGGTGAAGTTGGCCAGCAAATGAGGTTGAATATGTTCTCTTTGAGTGGCACTGGATTTTTTGGTGCCATGGGTCGTAGCTTAAACTTGGGTAAGATTAAAGTTTGTGTGCATATGGCCATGTGCCTATGAAGCAAAGATGGTTATTGTTTTCCAAATTGACAGGGGGTCAAACCGCTTTGGCATTACGTCTACTGTTGGCAGCTTTCTCATCAAAACTCTCTTCAGACATGAACAGACCATTTGGGGATGAGGTAGTTGACTTGTGAGAAAAATAATCTTTAAGATGTATTGATGAGATCACCACAAGTGTTTTACCTTACCATGCAGTTTCGTGCTGCTCGAAAAGCATCAGAAGAAGTTGGAGCTCAAGTTGTTTTGGGAGATCGTCCAATTGAAATAACTGTATGTACATCTTAACAGAATGAAAGATGTGCAACCATTGCAATTTGTAAACTACTCAAATTGGTATTTCAAATAGGCCCTAAAATCGTAGTTTTGGTCATTCTATTTCTACTTGGGCAGTTCTACACTATGCTCTACTTCATTCTGTGTTCTTTCTTATTTATTTATTTATTTATTTATTTTTATTTATTTGTTTATTTATTTATTTTTTGAGATGGGCTTGTTTCATATGTTTAGCGACAAATAATTTTTTTATTTTTTTATTTTTTTAATTTCCTTGAAATGTTTTTTGCAGCTTGAAAGAGCTTGGAATTCTCTTAAATGGAATGAGAAACTGAGCCTAGTGTTGTCTGTTGTTCGTGGGATAACATCATCAGCTGATATGTCCAGGAACAATTTGAAGGTTTGTCTCCTCAAATTTATCATTATTTGGATTTATGTGAAACTTTGTTCCTTGTCAACTTGAGCTGAAACTAAATTGTTATTTGACTTTTGATTCTTCACAATTTGCTGGTTATATCAGCTTGTATTTCTATTCATAAATTAGAGAATTATATTCATCTGAACACTAATCGTGGCTAATGTTGTTATCAGTTGTGAGCATAACATCTTATTTGGTAAAAAATTTCAAAAAATAAAAGAAAAAAAGAAAAAAAAGGAAAGAGGAACTCAAAGAATGCATTCAATGATTTTCAAGCCATTTAAATGAAATTGAAGTAGTGAGGAAAGACTTTGTTTTGGTGGCAAGTGGTAATATGATTTGTAAGCTTTGGTCAGTCAACATCTTGGAACTAAATATATTCCGCTTTTTGTATCTAAAATTTGTTTGTATCCCAATGACTTGCTTTTAAATGCGGACACCAGCATGAGGGTTGCCAAGCACATCAAATAAAGTAGAGATTTATTTCTGAATAGTCTTGTATTGTGTTCTTTAATCTCTTTCTTCCGCATGTTATTGCAGGAATCAAGCACAGATGATAGCACCTTTCAGCTCTATGAGCAACTAAGTTTTTCATATCCATCACTCCTACAGCCCCTTTTACATGAGCGTGACACAGTAAGTCTCTTCCTTCTAGAATAATCATTTGGAATTGTGGGTAATAGGTGTTAAGAGGTGGTTGGTTGTGAACCTTTGGGAAGATGGTGGGATCACTGGAGGTGAAGGAGGAGAAGAAAAAGGCAGTTTTAGAGATAGAGAGGGTGGCTATGAGGGACCTTGAGCACTTAGATGGTTGTGTTAATACAATGATAATGTTGGTGTCTGGCTGCATGCATGATTCCCTTTTATAGGATCGAGGAGTATTGGAGCCAAAGCCACCTGTGGACCAGTGCCGAGCTCTCTTCAACTTGACATGATGGTGATATCATTCCTATGGCTATGTCTTATGATTTAGGTCTTCAGGAATGTTGCATCATGGGAGCTGTAGACATGGTAGGCATGATATCTTGAGTGGTGTATCATGCATGCAACAAGTGCAAGATTGGTCAAGGTGGAGTTGTCGTCACAGGGGAGACCGCAAAGCAACCTTGACTAAGCCATGATCCTAGCCTTAAATCCATAATCCTCCAATGATCTCGAGTGAGGGTGCGTGGAGCCTGCTCCTAGCTTAGGCAACCGATTGGTTAAGTAGAACGAGCAACATAGGCCAGCTATGTCGCCATCGAGTGAGAGTAAGGAGAGGGTGCGTTCCCTGTTAGCAGGGGCGGAACCAGAATTACAATTTGAGGGGAGCCAAATTAAAATATAATAGACCCCTTATATTTCCAACAAAATATAAACATATTTTATAATTCAATCAAGAAAAATATATTAGGTTATAAACTATTTTCCTTCATGAAAAATTAGAAGTAGTGAACTTTAACAAACATTTTAATTTCACTTCTTAACTCTACCATAATCAAAGTTCAACTTGACACTCTTTTAAATCCCAAAAATAGTTTAATTTTATTGCAATTTTTCTTTCAGTGTATAAAATTGATTACTAGTCGAGACAGATGATTTTAATATACAAAACCATAGTCAAGACAACTAAAATTTATTGCAACTTTCCTTCAACTTTATTATAAAATAATATTATTGTGATAAGTAAAGCAACCCATCTATGATCTCTCAATATTGGAAAGTGGTCTTAATTGATGAAATAAGACAAATGATATAACAAGGATAGTAGCGAGCAAGGGCTCCAAGTGAACCTATGAAGCACATACATCTCAGTTCAGTTGTGCGACACACCGGACAAGGACACATGTCGAACATGCTGGAGATTCAGATACACTAGGACATGTTAGGATACGTTGATAGATCATTTTTTTCAAAAAAAAAAAAAACCAAAATTAGAAATCAAAAATTATTTTTACTAAGATAACATACCTAAGGGTGAAAGGGGTTTAATGGTAAAATTTTGGCTTAATAATCTTGAGGTTATGGGTTCAAGTCTCCAGACGACCGCTTTGTGTATTATGTCAAATGTTAGGTGTGTATTAAATCCTTCACCTCTTAAACAAATATTAATGTGTACTCGTTGAATGTTTTTTTTTTTTTAAACATATCTAAGGTTGATAAATTTGATAAAATTTAATATTTTACATAAAATAAATATTATATGATATATAATAAATATATAAAATTATATGTTTTGCACATTTTCTTAACATATCGAGTTTTACATTTTTGAAAATTTGTATGGTCCTGTATCCATATTGTGTCACGTATCCGTGTTTGTACTTCTTAAAAGTGAACCATGTTGTTGTCCAGCGAGAGAGCAAACCTGGCTTTGTTGCGTGAGCAATGTGAGGTTCTTCATACTTGGAGTCATTTGCCTTGAAGTTCTTATGACTAGGACGACAGCCGAGCTAGTGAGCTCCACTTAGAGGTGTGTACGCCCCACTTAGGAGGCATACAACTCCAACTGGTTGTGTTACCTCAGAGGTCAGCCATGTAAGGTTGTGATGCTGATGATGTGGTGCATGTAGGGCTCGCCGTGTGTTTTGCGTGGTACAAGTACACATAGGAACTTAACCTCTTCTTGAACTTGACTAAAAAATTATACCCTAAATTATGGGAAAGAAACAACAAAACACCACTCTTTAGATTACAGTCTTATTTTGTGAATCACTGGTCAATTGTAGCTGTTTTATGCCATAGAAAGGTGGTCAACCTATTTGGTTTTGATGTAAGAGGTAAATAAATTTGATTAAAACATTTTGGATTTATTACACTTTATACCTTTAAATTATCATCAAATTGTTTACTTAGTCCATAAACTATCGATTGAGTCTATTAAGTCCCTAAAGTTTATACATCAAAATCTATTAAGTCCTTAAACTATCAATTGAATCTATTAAATATTTAAATTTCTAAAATATTTAAATCAAACCTATTTAGTCCTGAAATGATTACAAAAATAAAATAGAAATCCAAAAGTATTATAAATTAGTAAAGACCCTATCTAGTTAAAATTTTATATTAAAAAAATCTTAAATTTTTATTTTGTCCTTGAAAAGTGAGCTTTGGTTGTTATGGTGAATTTTCTTTACAAGGATGAGGGTAATTATTTATAATATTTTCTTAATTATCTTCTGAAATGGCTACATGCGTTTGCCTTTATCTAGTTTTATATGTTAGATTTCTTTTATAATTTCTAATTGATTGTTTTTATGGTTTTTGCTAAGCTCCTTTTATAATTTAATTAATATAGTTTTTTTATTATTATTTGTAGCGAAATGTTATTTTTTAAATTATCTACTTATACTTTTTTAGTATATCTAATACTCATATAATTTTATTGGCAAGACTAAAAAATCAGATTCTAATACTAATTTAATAACACAATGAAATAAAACACTCATTCTAACAATTGTCTAAGGCATTAGGTTTCGTAGATATTTTTTGTTGGTGAAAAGTCCACATTTTGTAAGATAGTTTGGTGAGAAGTCCTTTTGTTGGTTTTAAAGGACATTTTGTTTTCAATTTTATCCCTTAATTTATCTGTTGACTTTTTTTATCTGCTTACTTTTTTTGACTATTTGTTCAAAATTATATCTATCTGTTCAAAATTTTTTGACTATCTGTTCAAATGTATTTTATCTATTTAATTTTTTGACTATCTGTTCAAATTTTTTCTTATTTGTTAATGTTAAATTTTTAGTTTTTCTTATCTGTTAATTTTTTCAAAAACTTGTTTTCTATTTGTTGGAATTATTCCCTGCAACAACAACAACAGAAGATTAAAAAAAAAAAAAAAACATTTTTTTTAGATATGAAAAATTAATTCCTTTAAATTATCATCAAATTGTTTACTTAGTCCATAAACTATCGATTGAGTCTATTAAGTCCCTAAAGTTTATACATCAAAATCTATTAAGTCCTTAAACTATCAATTGAATCTATTAAATATTTAAATTTCTAAAATATTTAAATCAAACCTATTTAGTCCTGAAATGATTACAAAAATAAAATAGAAATCCAAAAGTATTATAAATTAGTAAAGACCCTATCTAGTTAAAATTTTATATTAAAAAAATCTTAAATTTTTATTTTGTCCTTGAAAAGTGAGCTTTGGTTGTTATGGTGAATTTTCTTTACAAGGATGAGGGTAATTATTTATAATATTTTCTTAATTTTCTTCTGAAATGGCTACGTGCGTTTGCCTTTATCTAGTATTATATGTTAGATTTCTTTTATAATTTCTAATTGATTGTTTTTATGGTTTTTGCTAAGCTCCTTTTATAATTTAATTAATATAGTTTTTTATTATTATTTGTAGCGAAATGTTATTTTTTAAATTATCTACTTATACTTTTTTAGTATACCTAATACTCATATAATTTTATTGGCAAGACTAAAAAATCAGATTCTAATACTAATTTAATAACACAATGAAATAAAACACTCATTCTAACAATTGTCTAAGGCATTAGGTTTAGTAGATATTTTATGTTGGTGAAAAGTCCACATTTTGTAAGATAGTTTGGTGAGAAGTCCTTTTGTTGGTTTTAGAGGACATTTTGTTTTCAATTTTTCCCCTTAATTTATCTATTGACTTTTTTTATCTGCTTACTTTTTTTGACTATTTGTTCAAATTTATATATATCTGTTCAATTTTTTTTTGACTATCTGTTCAAATGTTTTTTATCTATTTAATTTTTTGATTATCTATTCAAATTTTTTCTTATTTGTTAATGTTAAATTTTTAGTTTTTCTTATCTGTTAATTTTTTCAAAAACTTGTTTTCTATTCGTTGGAATTATTCCCTGCAACAACAACAACAACAGAAGATTAAAAAAAAAAAAAACATTTTTTTAGATATGAACAGCTAATTCCAACATATAATTGCTCAACAAAGAAAAAGAAAAAATAATTGTCATTAGAGAGGGATGATCAGCAACAACTGTGTGTTTTATTTGTTCAACAACAACAAAGAAAAAAAAAAAGAAAGAATTATCTCTAACAATAGATTTGTATTCTATGGTTTTTGTCCAACAGATATGTATTCTAGGTTATTTTGCAAATTCAAGTGGTCAAAGACCTCGCCAAAGCAGATCTACCGATGATCCCTAAAACAAGCCCACGACAATGCTTCATTCCACGCAATAGCGATAAATTTCTTCATTCTTGAAACGAATCGGAGAAGTCCAATTTAATCATTGGAAGACAAAGAATCCAAGTACAGTATAAATATATGCATATATAAAGAGAGAGAGTGAGATTTTTAGAGAGAAAGGACTCACATGGAGAAGGAAACACATCTTTTGGAGATCAACTTGATCTCCGCTCAAGAACATATATATATCTATGTTAGTTTGATTCACAAGAAAAGACACACATACTCACGCATATAGATATAATATGTATATATTGAAATCTAAGAAATGTCGAGTGAAAGTTAAGAAATGTCGAGTGAAAGTGAAGATCTAGACGAAGATGAGTTGCATCAGATTGTGCTGAAGGAGCAATCTCAATGAGATCTCAATTACCACAAATACTCCTCCAAGCCTTCGAGGCCGACAGCTTATTTCGTGCAGCCACCATCGTATCCGGCGAAGTAGAGGGGTTCGGCGCTATCGGGAGATGCTAGGTCGAAGCTGTTCAATATCAGATCTACAGAGGAATGGTGCTTCAAAGTCTTTCTGGCGAGCCCTGTGCTGCTGTCAGGGCAACCGATGATGCTCTTAATCAAGACTCGCTAAGAGAAATGGACCTCTTCGGTGGTGTTGGAGAGGGACATGGCGAGAAAAAAGGCGATTAGGAGGAGAGAGAGAGCTGAGGCGGCGGTGACCTCCCTGATCGGATCTGGAGAGGTCTTTCTGCGGTGGTGATGGAAGAGAGAAGAGGAGGAGAGAGATGATGAGCACCACATTGGTTGAACTGTTTGATTAGGGTCTGTGAACAATACATATATATAGGTCTCTTTTGGGAAGTGGGTTATAATCCACTTCCCGGATTATAACCTACTTCTTCTCTCACAAAAAAGCTGCTTATAAGTAGTTTTTAACTAAAAAGCTGATTATAATCATCTTCCCAAAATAGCCCATAATGGGTAGTTTGTTCATTTTAAAAGAACTTGCCTTTATGGACAAAGTGTTTTAGAGTCAGTACCTATGGGCAATGAAAATCTAAAATTGGATTTATGGACCGAGTGCCCAAAAAAAAAAAAAAACTGTTTGATTAGGGTCTGTGAACAATACATATATATAGGTCTCTTTTGGGAAGTGGGTTATAATCCACTTCCCGGATTATAACCTACGTCCTCTCTCACAAAAAAGCTACTTATAAGCAGCTTTTAACTAAAAAGCTGATTATAATCATCTTTCCAAAATAGCCCATAATGGGTAGTTTGTTCATTTTAACAGAACTTGCCTTTATGGACAAAGTGTTTGAGTCTGGACCTACGGGCAATGAAAATCTAAAATTGGATTTATGGACCGAGTGCCCAAAAAAAAAAAAAATTGAAAAAATTGTATTTGAAAACTCAATGGTTTTTTCATATTACATTAACAAAAGTAGTAAGACAAAAATCTTTTTTCATTTTTGACATCCCTGTGACCTAAAATGGATACTTTCTGGAGGATTGTGCTCTTTATTTTGTGTTTTTCTATTTTTTGTTTGTTTTTTACAGTATCTTGCATGGTCTTTGAAGAGGAGCAAAGCTGTGAATAATGGTAAGAGAGTGGTGGGGGTAATTGGAAAGGGCCACCTGAATGGAGTTATATACGCACTGATATCAGATCAAGGCAACTTGCGATTTCGAGACCTTGTGGGGAAGGGACCATCTGGTGATAGTAGCTCTTATTCTTGGGTTGATACCCTTCTAAAGAATTTGGTTATGGACACCATAATTGGCATCCTGTTGTGGGCATTATTTGAACAGTTGAAGACAGGATTTTAGAACACAAACGAATATATATTGATCTTAAATTATGGTCTACATTCTAAGAAATGAAAAATTAAATCTGTTAGATGAGTTCTCTGATGATGGGGGTACCAATGAGTGTAGTTGAGTAATGGCTTTATGTTCAAGACAAATTCTGCGTTAGTAGAATCTGAGTTCCATGAATATGACCAAAGTGGTCTAGGAATGGTGAGCTGCAAGGCAGTGAAAATAGTAACTGCTGCCCGGCTAGGGTTTGGCTAGAGAAACCCGTCTGATGTAAGTTTGAAATTTGGGAAGAGGAATAAAGAGCAAAGGAATGAAGAGTATTATGGTTTAGAGAGTTTCAACATGTTTTTCAAATAAGACTAGGATTACCTTTTATAGAGATCCTCCAATGCCCTCTAAGAACTCATGAGGATAACAGTCTCATTGCTTCATGTGCCACCTTGCTTAGGTAATCATCGTGCGTAGAGTAGGACTGCCATTTTGTTAAGACTTAACTTCTAGGAGGACAATCTGACTTCTCTCGTGACTGAAGATGCTTCCCAATTTAACTTTCACCAAATATCTAGAGTTCGACCTTTCATGAACAAAACCATCACCATTTCGTGTCACCATTGCATATGCACTTTAGGTAAATACTGTCTCAACCAATCCATGCTCCAAATTGGCCAATAGAGCTCACGATGGCGCCAGTCTAGTCCAGCCTAACTCTGTGCAGTTCGGCCCAACCAACTGTGTGCCATCCTACCTGCAGTCTGGGGCTCGATCGTAGGTGTGTCTGGTCCAAACTGTAGAGAGACATCCAGGCCGCTTCTTCTTGGTTGCTTGGCCCAAGTCAATAGAAAGATCCAGCCCATAGCAAAGCCGGTGTTGGCCCAATCCAGCCTCTCAGTAATTTTGATCCCGTCAGTTTGGCAGCTTGAATTCTGTCCGAGGTTCAAATTCAGAATTACTGCCGTAAATGGTGTCAAAGGTTCGTGGGTTATGGGCAAATTCCTTAATGGACCAGACACCCGATAAAGTGATCCGCAACATTTTTTAAGATTTATTAAGAGAAGAAAACAAAAAGGGGAAATTACCCTGAGTGGAAAGTTGAAAAAATTATTACATATGTATGAAATTTTTTATAATTTTAATTCTTAATATTAATAAAGTTTATTATTATTTTGTAATTATTTTTGAAGTTATACACTAATGTGAAATTTTTTCAAATAAAAACAATTAGCGGCGGACATACATAATACGTATACAATTCAAGTAAATAAAATTAAAGCAAATAATAAAAAAATTAATTTCATAATATCTGTACTGCCCAAATAGTCTTTTTTTCATAAACCCAAGGTCATGTGTTCATGTCTTGTGCATGTTTCGCTATATAACTTTTTATTTGAAATTGAAAAATGAGAGACACGTGGCATAAAGAGAAACAAATAAAGACTTGGATATAAAGTTCAACTTTCACTTAATATAATAGCATAGATAGTATATATATATGTAATGCATTGTTTTAGCTCTTATATATCTATCTATGTATACTATATATAAAGTGAAGATCCCCTTATGGTATCCTAAAGCCTTGATTTCTTATGTTGCCAAGTGTGTACCTTTTTATTTGAAACAAAAAGTTAGATAAATGAGAAGAACAAGACTCAAACCTTAGACCTTCAGCCAAATAAAGAAGACTCTTATTACTTAAGTGGCACATAATATATTTTGTTTTATTTTTACTATTATAAAAATACTATTATAAAGTGAACAGTAGTAGCATTATAAACTGAATATTTTGGTGGTATCCAGAAGTCTCCTTTCCTTATGTTACTAAGTGTCCATTTTTCTATTTAAAAATAAAATAAAATTAGATAGATGAGAGAAGACTCAGACCTTAGATGTTGAATTTAATGAAGAAGACTCCTACCACACAATATATAATAAATATTTTATTTAATTATTATTTATTTGAATTAAACCCATATCTTGTGTGCTAACAGTTAGTTATTATTAGTGTTGATTGAGTAATAATATAGGGAAAACTCTATGATGTGCACCCCTTTATGGGTGCATTCCATATGCATCTTATCATAAATTAACATAATTTTATCATAAAATTTTGAATATCAATCACAAAATACGTAGCATCGTCACAAATTGACTTTATAAAAAATCTTGGAACAAAGTCACAAATTTTTATAACATCAATTACAAAATTTTAAAAATTTTGTTACGTTAATTTGTGATGAAATTATATTTTATAAAATTTTATGATAAAATTATGTCAATTTATAATAGGTGCATATTGTATGCACCCCGTAAGTGGGTGCACCCCAAGGGTTTCCCAATATGTAGAATGGGAAGAATAGATTATTTTGATTGACCAAACGGAAGATATACGTGTTGATCAAAAAATAGCAAAACAAGAATCAAAGAGCTAAAAGAATATTTTAAAGTTTAAAAGGGGTTATGGTGCTTTTTAACGAATTGAATTATTCCAGCTTCACTCTTATTTATTTCGTTAAAAATTTGTTTAAAATTGATGCATAAATAAGCTAAGTTTAAATACTTTTTGAACCTCGTTGAGTTTTCAAAATATGTTTGAATAACCTAGTATTCGGCTTGATGAACTTATATATATTATGAAAAATCAAACTATTCGAGTTCGATTAGTGTTTGGCTCATTAAAATTTCGTTCAAGATTTGATCATTATGTAAATAAATCAAATTTAAACATATTTTAAAACTCATTAAAATTTTCAAACAAATTTTGAATCGTCTATTATTTCACTACAACAAAATGGTTCTTTAATGACAAAATCACTTCGTCTCCAATAGTAAAATTTTTGTAACCAAATTGATTTGCAACGAAATAATTTCATCATCACGTTCGTTGTCTATTGCTCGTCGCTACAAGTACTTGTTGACGAAATTTTATTGTCGCCTCTTATTGGTATTTGGTGACGAAACATTTCGTCGCTAAATGTTAAATATTTTGTCGCCTATAATGTTCATTTCGTCACTAGAATTAAATAAAATTTTATTTTATTTGTTTTGGGTGACGAAATATTTCATCATTAAAAACAATGATAGAATTTTTAGTGACGAAAATATTCGTCATGAAATGATGCAAAAAAAAAGACCCTCCCATGACAATTTTTTGTCAAGAAATATTTTAATTTAGTGACGAAATACTGAACATATGGGACAAAATTATTTGTTAGGATTAGAAAGTTTTAGTGACAATTTTTTCCATCGCCAACAATAAATAAATTTAAAAAATGTGCAGGGGGATATTTGCAATATATATATATATATATATTTTCAATAAAGAATCCTTGTGCATTTTAATAATCTGTTAAATTAAATATCTAATAGAAATTAATATAAAATTAAAATGTTCATTTTCATAACACAACACAAGTAAAATACATGTCTCATAGTATTAGGTAATTAATATATAACATTCAAACTATAACATCTATTCTAGTAAAATCAAAAAGTACAACAACACAATCAAAATAACTTATGCATTTTAATAACCTATTCAATATAATATCCATTACAAATTATTATAAAAACCTGTTCATTTGCATAAAGCAACAATATAGTCAAAATAAATATTTGATAGTATCAACAAAAAGATAAGATCCATCACAATATAATCATAACCCACGACAACATAGTCAAAATATGTGTTTTGGTAATATCAACAAAAAAATAAAACTACGCTGTGATGGATACGTGTCTGGTAATATCAACAAAAAGCTCTTGCTTACAGGTTATCAAATATGTTCATCTCCTATCTGCTATTTAAAAAAGAAAAAAAAAAAAAAAAAAAAAAAAAAAAAACAAAAGGTTAAGGTAACCATTCACTAAATATGTTAACATGCAACCTAGAAGAGAGAAAATGAAAATTTCGAAGTAAATTTCAAACCAAAATTTATCGTGCTTGTTCCATAAATTTTTACAACTTACATTAGTTCCTCCCAAGGTGTGCATGATGTTTCCTAGGCCTTTTAATGACTATTTCAAGATTTTACTCCCTAACAACTTATTTTGAAGCCTAAATGTTTTCCAATCGAGAGTCCTATGATTGTGTTGTAAGTTTTCACAACTTATGTTAATCCCCCCCAAGGTGTTCATGATAATTTGTAGACCTTTTCGTGCCTATTTAACGATTTTGCCCCATCGATGGCTTATTTTCATGCCTAAGTGTTGGAAATTTACAAATTTCAAAGTAGTTTTTAAATTAGGAGTCTCGTGTTTGTTCTATAAGTTTTCAC